GAGGAAAGCAACAAAAAACCGAAACCGTCGTACGAGAGGAACAATGCGACGGAAGTCAGGCGGAAAACGACGCCCCGGCGTAACTCACTTTGCAATTATCACAGCAAAGCCCCTTGGAACACTCGCTGCCCTCCTTCAGGCGGCACGTGATGGGATCGCAGCAAGGATCCACCTCTTCGCAGTGCTCCATGGCGCCGCAGTCGCACTCCTCCAGGTCGTCCAGGACCCCGTTTCCGCACGCCTCGAGCCGATCCCTCTGCAGTGGGTTCAACACAAACGCAGTTATTCGCTGTCTGCTCCTGCGGTTTCCTGCATGGTGCTGCTCGCTGGCCGAACAAGCGCTGACGACGATGCGCTGGTCGTACCGCGGAGGAGTGCATGCAGGTAATCCTGCAGTTCATGCACCCAAAAAAAAAGGGCGATCCGACCCCAAAAAAGGGTCCGCCGGGATTCCTTTGTCTGGGGCAGGGCCTGGGTTTTCACGCGAATTCGCATGCCAAAAGTGTCGTCCTCATTTTGGGGACACACTTTCAGCGTGCAAGTTTGCGCCCTCCAAAAGTTCTCACTTGTACGCAGTTTCCCATGCGAGGCATTCCAGAGTGCATATAGTCAACGTCTCGTAAGCACTTTTATGATATCCCCAGGCCACGGTCGGTATTAGGGCCTTTCTAGTCATAAGTCATAAGTCTTGCAACTTCATACATTTTATAGCCAAAAATAAAAAAAGAAATAACGAAAAACAATGAAAATACATTCGAAATTGCTTCAAGATTAACAATGAAAGAACTTCGCTTCAACTCTTATTTACGATAATATAATTACTGCATGAACATGCCAAAACAGTACTCGCTGCTGCCAAAAAAAAACTATTGCAGGGTGCAAGTAAAAATTCCAAGCAAAATGGGCGATACAGTCCATCATACAGAAAATAATTTGATGAAATTCGCGAGGAGAAACAAAAGAAATCTCAACCAACAGAACGGAGGAGTTGAAACCTTGTTTCCTCGACTGCAGCGCGGGTTATTCCCGGACGATACACTTACGCAAATGAACACCGATCCCAAGTCCACGAATAAAGGCTTTCTGGGGCGATTCCTATTGGATTCTGGAGGCGTGCTTACCCTTGGAGGTCACCACGGAAAGATCAATCCAGTCTGGTTCTCATTAGGAGAAGGTCGCCCTCAGTATGTGAAACGTATGCTATCTCGCTCCCTATTTTCCGGCCTTAAAGAACGGAGCAGCGTCTTTATACCTCGTCTAGAGTATTAAAGCTTATGCAGCTTCTAACATCAGTTCAGACGGTACGATTTTCTTCCTGGTTGATCTTCTTGACTGTACTCCTGGGGTCGCAGTGAAAGTGAAAGTCCTAAATGCTGGACTATTCCTTTTTTTTTCTCACTCCTTCCTGAGGTCGGCATGTCAAAGCTTCCCTGACACTGAGGAATTGTTTGTTGCCCTCGGTTTTTTTGGCCGCGCAGGGGGTTCATGCACTTGTACGCAGTTTCGCGCTGGTGTGGGCCCCCAACCCGAACACACACATGCTGGACCTTCCTTAAAACACGACCCTGACCGCCCACTCTTTTCCTATACCCCGTTCTTATAGCTTGTTCATAGCCCAGGAAAATAGTGAGACCCCGACATGCGGACGTAATTGGTGCTTGGACCGTGTTTGTATACGTCGGAACGTCCGCATGTCGGATCACGTTTTCCCATACACTTCAAAGAGAACTTATTCTATCGGTTCTCCATGCAGTTCATAAAAAATTAGGAATGAATGCCCAAAACTTGAATACAATTTGTTTCTCTGTTTAAAGATGCAGAATATAAATGTGCAGAAGAAAGCAACACAGAATATGATCTTTTGGCATCAAAAAGGCCCGAAGAAACAAAGAAAAAGTATTAGTATCGCTATAATATGCACAGATTATGCAGAATATTCCAAAAAAAGTATCACAAATATGACAAACTATTCTAAAAAATATTCTAGTTCTAAGAAAAAATTAAACTAAAAACGTAGAGTCATGCTAAACCTCGAACTTTAATTTCAGACGTCGCTTGGTCTCCAATATTAACCACCCAAAAACAAAAACTGCTTCATGCGACCAGTAGATATCTCGAGTAAAGGCGGCTCCCGCTTATTTTCAAATGAAATTTTCGGACATAAAAGTGCTTGACATATCCTGTTCATCCCTCGTAATAAATTTAGCAAATGGAAACAAAAATCTCAGCCTTCAGACGCGAAGGAATGGCGGTGATTAAAAATAAAACGGAGAGGCCCGACTCAAGCCTGAAGAACAACCGAGACATTCTTCAGCGGAAAAGACCCCGGATAATTTCAGCACGCACAAGGAAACCCGTCTCACCTGGTTGGGCATGTTTCGGAGACAAACAGCACCCCTGCTCGTCATCTCTTTCATGTAGTCCTGCAGCGAGCAGGCTGAGAACTTGTAGGGCTGCACACTCTCCTGGCCCTTGATGCTGCTCATCATGATGCACCCGTGCCAATCGCGGCACTCGCAAGCATCCAACCCTCTTCCGCCGACGACTAACAGGGGAAAAAAAAGTATATTACACATGAGAAAAAAGAGTGAAAAAAAGAGAAAGAGAGAAAAGAGCAAGAAGGCAGCACGGAACGAAGCCCGCCCTCGGCAGCAATTCATCAAAAAGCTCTGAACGTCTGCTCGATAACCGGCTTGCGGGTCCAACAGCTCAATCAACTCGGGTTTTCTCTCCGAAAGGAAGTTATCTCCTTCGCTCAAAAACCTGGGCTTTTCAAAAGCGGAGGGTTGAGGTCTATTTCGTTCTTCAAGTGCTTCGCGTGCTGAATCTGATAAAACGTGATGAACCCCCGGGATTTCATTTTCCCCATCAACTCACCAACAGCAGATATTCCTGACATTTATCGCAGGTACGTTCGAGTAAAAAAAAAAAAAAAAAAACTGTTCCCAACCCAACCCCGAAAAAAAAGGAAAGAAAGAATGCCTTCGCATTTTGTCCGCTATTCAATCTCTGAAAACCTCCATCTCTGATCTGTCATCAACCGAAATGCCCAAGGCATAATTACAGTTAACCTCCACAAGTCGAATACTACGTCGATTTTTTTTTTTACGTCCATACGTCGAAGTTTTTTCAAAGTTTCTGCCTAAATTCCCGTATGAACAATGCATCAATAGCCTCCCTAACTCGGAGATTACCCTCTCAAAACTCAAAAATTCGAATGTTTTTTGTTTATGATTTCGCTGACACGAGAGAAAAGCAATGAAAATATAACCTTATGGGTCTGAGAAGAGAGTGAAAGGCCAATTTTGGCAAATAAACCCATGCTCCAAGTTCAGCATTCTTTCAGCCAACTGATTTAAAAAGCAATTTAATGCTCTAAATATCATTAATTACACGTTTCTGTAATTCTTTCGTTCTCCCCAACAAAACTGCTTCTTTCCCTAACTCGAATTTTTTTTATTGATCCCTTGAAATTCGACTTGAAGAGTTCCACTGTAGAGTACTGTCCTTTTTTTTTTATCTCATCAACAACCACTTTTACGAGTTCAAAATGGGATTCCAACGACGAAATAAAAATGATTTCATTCTGTCAAAAATGGAGCTGGTTTCACTCAAAACCGGCTGTTACCCACAGAATTCGACAGAATATCATTCCATTCGGAATTTCAACAAACTTCGGGGACATCAAGTTCGTCGGAAAACTTTCCAATTCAGTCATCCGCATAAAGTACGTCATCAACCCCATGAGCTAAATATGTCCCACAACGTAATTGAAAGTTCATTTGGCCATCGGGAACCTCTCAAAGGTTCAGGCTCAGTTATTCTTTTTAGCATCAAT